GCTTTCCTGGCTTCTGTATGAAAAAGGGCTTCAGGAAGGATAAGAGCAGTTAGGAACCTTTGCAGTCATGCAGATGTGAAATAAAAGTAAATTACATGAGGCTGGTGATGGATAGAGAAACAGTGAAGTTGATTTACTGGACATATAATTAACAAATATGTTAATAAATATGGTTAATAGTTTATAGTTAATAAAACATAGTTAATAAATACTGAACTTTGGTACATAGTACTCAATAAATGTTCATTGCATAGACCAATGGGAAAGTCTCAGGAAACTATGTGCCCTGATTGCTTTCATACTCTGTACTTGGCACTTATTTACTCTAGGCTTCCCAAGAGGGCAGGTATAAACTCCCAGATACTTCCTGCTGTCTCTAGGTACAAGACAAAGTGCCTGGGAGCCCTCCGGTAGAACCTCAAAGAGAGTCTCAGGTGGGAGAAATGTGAGAAGGAAACCAACAAAGAAGCTGAGGGAATGTACCCTGGGGGGATGGTGGGTAGAAATGGAAAAAGAGATTTAAGTAGATCTCAGCTGAGCACCAAAGGTGTCTGCTCTACCCCATCAGATAAGACTAGGGAAGATTCTGAAGAGCAAGTATTTTGTGAGGTGGAACTTCAAGAATAAGTAGGAATCTGCACAGTAGATAAGGGAGGGCCTGCCTAAGCAAAGAGTTGCAGATAGATAGGGGTGAAGACTAGCAAATGTTTCCATCTGCTCAGCCTTCTGATAATTATGAAGAGTAGCTACTCATTATACCTTGTAATTATTTTGAAACTAACCTCAGATATATCATTTCATCCAGAAATACTTCAATATGTAGTTCTAAAAATAAGAACTTTATTTATTTTTAAGATTTATTTATTTATTTATTTGACAGAGAGAAACACAGTGAGCGAGGGAACACAAGCAGGGAGAGTGGGAGAGGGAGAAGCAGGCTTCCTTCCGAGCAGGCAGCTCCATGCGGGGCTCGATCCCAGGACCCTGGGATCATGACCTGAGCCGAAGGCAGACGCTTAACGACTGAGCCACCCAGGCGCCCTAAAAACAAGAACTTTATTTTATTTTTTAAAGATTTATTCCTTTGAGAGAGAGGGGAAGCAAACACAGGAGCAAGTGGGGGGAGGGGCAGAGGGAGAGAGAGAATCTTAAGTAGGTTCCCTGCTGAGCATGAAGCCCAACACGGGGCTCTATCTCACCCCCCTGAGATCATGACCTGAGCTGAAATTAACAGAGGGGTGCTTATGTGACTGAACCACCCAGGACACCCTAAAAATAAGAACTTTTAAAAAAAATGTAACTAAAATAACACTATCACATTTGGAAAAATTAACCGTGATTCCTTAATACCATCAAATATCTAGTCAGAGTTCAAATTTCCCCAATTGCATTTTATATATATAAAATATAAATAAACAACATATACTATATAAATTAAGTATATATTTATATTTATACATAAATGTGTGTATACATGATTTCAGTGTGTTTGACTCAGGATCCAAAAAAGTGCTACACATTGAATTTTGTTGGTATGTCTCCTAAGTCTCTTGTATTCTACAAGTTCCTTGTGAGCACCCATCTTGCTTTTCTTGAAGTTTATTTGTTAAAGAAGCCAGGTTATTTGCTTAATAGAGTTGTTTACATTTTGGATTTTTCTAATTGTATTTGGATATTCCTTAATTGACACTGGGGTATCATTAAAATATTCCTCTGTTCTGTATATTTCCTGTAAAGTGCTAAATATGTCTTGAGAGTTGATAAGGTTTAGTTTTCTTTATTTGTATGTTCCTTTGTTTTACAAGAATACTTCCTAGTGTGGAGTTGCACTGTAAAATGTCCTATAAAATTAAATACGCATTTACTTAATAAACCAACTTTTAGGAATTTACCCTTAAGAAACACCTCCCAAAATACCAAATGACTTAGTAATCCGATTTTTAGGAATTTGCCCTCAAGAAGCACCTTTCAAAATACAAAATAACATATGTAGAAGGCTTGTTTCTAATAGCAAAATATTGGGAACAATCTAAATGACCATGTGTAGGAAATTGGTTGACCACACCATGCTACATCACACAATAGTGCCATGTGGCCATTAAAAAGAGGATGAAGATTATGAACCGATATAGAATAGTTTTTCAGGATTTATTAACTGAAAAGAAAAATCAAGGAGCAAAACAGTAGATACACCACACTGCAGTTTGTGTAAGAAAGGGAAATACATATACATATATATTCATATACTTGTAATGCTTATTTTTATGAAAAGAAAGGGCTGATAAGTCATGAATGAAAGCAAATAATTATTACCTCTATGGTAAAAAGAGGATTAGAGAATAGGAAAAGGGATGATGTAATATAAAGTTTTGAATTTGAGTTATGTAAATGTTTTATATACTTAAGCATGCCATGTGTATGCTTAAAAATAAAATTAAACAAAGAATATATTATGCGAGATGATTTCTAATTACTACACAGACTTTTCCCCATATCTATCCTTTCAAACTATAGTCAGACACTTTCATGTGGATCCCCTAAAAAGGAACTTAACACTTTAATTCACTCTATAAAAAGTTTAGAGTTATCTAATAAAAAATAAAGCCTTCAGTTGCACTTTTTTGGTGATGATAACCATTACTTAATTAATCTGATTAGTGCTTCAGATGTCCTAAATTGACATTTTGATGGTGGTATTGTCATATTTTATGAGTTGTTCAAAACTGATTTGACATTGCACCATTCCTGAAGGTCGGCTTTGAAAGAGAACCTTAAAATCACAGAGATGAGAATACGTATACAAAAATAACTTGATCAAATACTCCATAACCTCATATCCAAAGTATTGTTTTAGGAGGGAGTCTCAAAACAAAGATATTTGTAAAAGGAGGTATTTCTTATAACCCAAATTAGCAAGGCGCTCCTTCCTAAACCCAAAAAAGAAAATGTCCTCCAACAAAATAAATACTGGAGGCAAAATTCATGCTTTTCCACTCTGGATTTCAGGTCTGTTTTACGACTGTGTTGGGATGGCATTATTCTACAATTTGGGAAGCTGTTAAAAGTATTCTCAGACAATTTGAAGGGGCAGCTGAAGAGAGTAACTTCTTCTATATAGTGAATGTGGACAAAGAAATGAAAAGTTAAACAGTGATACCAGGAAGTGCATATGCGAGAGCGCATCAGAGTGGAGAGGGAGCTGCCCCAAAGATGGGGCGGCCATTGCTGACTGAGAGGCTTTGAAGTGGGATTGAATGGCTGAGATGATGGAACAAGTATGCAGTTGTCGATATGCTGCTTCAGAGGTGTCAAATTATTTCTCCTGAGTTGAAGGAATCAGCACTGTAGAGCCAGAAATCTGTAGGCATTGGCACATGTCTTATCCACTGTTGGCATGCGTGACCTGCAATCTGAGACCAGTTTTCAGTAAGCTTATGTAAAAATACAATATTTGGTTCTGGTTTTAAAAGATGAGTGTGTCTGTTTGTGTCATCACCTTAAGTCATCAGTGGCATGAGGGCCAGAGGTCTCAGATAGTTAAGAAGACATCAGCTGTCTCATATCCACGGGCTTTAGAGGAACCTTGGCCAGTTCATCTCAAGGTGGCATCACCAATAGTTTCTGTTCTTGTGATTTTCTTTCTGGAGCCTCGAACATTCCTTATAACTTCTTTTCAAAGCTTTCTAAAATCTGGCTTCCATGGACTAGCCCTGTCTTAGTTCTCTCAGTCCATTTATCTTCTGTTTTCTGGGTGTTTTTGTTTTTGTTTTTTTTCTTTAACTTTAGAGAGAGAGAGTGAGAGTGGGTAGGAGGGAGGAGCAGAGGGAGAGAGAGAATCTTAAGCAGACTCCCTGCTGAGCACGAAGCCCAAGGCAGGGCTCCATCTTACGACCCTGAGATCATGACCTGAGCTGAAACCAAGAGTCAGATGCCTAACCAGGGCCCCCCATGTTTTCCTTGTTTTAAAAAAATCTTCATTCTCCTATTCTTAGGTTTTATATCTGGTCATATACACTTCATCATTAAAAAAATACCCTCTCAGTTAATATTCCTGGGATTTCAAGGGTGTACAATTACATCAAATGCAAATAATGATAATAATGTGTCTCCTTTCCAAAAGTATATTCCTCTTTGCTGTGCTAATTCTTTGCCAGGGACTTAAAGAAAAGTCTTAATAGAGCCGGAAAATTTGAAATTCTGCCATATTTCCGATGCAGGGTGACCCTCCATTTCCTGCCGTGCCCCAGCAATCACCCAGAGGTACAGAGAATAATTATATGTCACAGGGAGTCATTGGATCCTGTGATGCCATGGTCACCTCCTGCAAATAGTCTAGAGGGAAGGAAAAAGTTTGGAGAATCATTATAGAAATTTACTTCCTATTGTTTGAAACTCCTAAGAGTTATTAAAGATGTTCCCAAATGAACCAGAGAAAACACTTCACGAGTGGGAGCTCCTAGGGAAACAAAGATACCTCAGCCTCCCCAACACTGAAATGCTGAGCCATAGGCACATGATAAAGGGCCCCCTTTAGAAGACCATTTCTTAACATAATTGCTATTTTAATAGGGAGTTTAGCTCATTTGCACAGTTTCCTTTATTTTCTTTTGTTCCATAATCTTTTGGCATGACATGCAAAGTAAAAGTATCATTTTAAACCATGCCTGCGGTTGCATTTGAGTTTTACAAATATATATATTTAATCCTACCTTTTTTTTAATTATCAAGCACCCAATTCTGTTTAGAAAGAGTATATCTGATAATGAGGGGAGATGGTCTCTGGAATCAGACTCCTTGTGTTTGAATTTGGTGTCCACCACTTTCTGTGTGACTTTATGTTATCTATAAAATGGGGACATAAACCTCATAGTGTTGTTCTGTGGATGGAATGAAATAACACAGGCAAAGAACCTAGGATGGTGGGAGGACGGTGTCCAGAACACAGTAAGTACTCAGGACACGTAATAGTTACAGAATGATTTCTTCTTTTTTTTTTTTAAGAATTTTTAAAACTTTAATACAGTTCAAATCAGTAGGCCAGATTCACTTCAGCTCTTTCACTGCCAAACCTGGGGGCAGGGACTGCTTCAGTTTCTCTGCCTTCTCCTTGTCCATGATGACCAAGGTATAAAGATATCTGCTGCACCAAACTTTAAACTTCACATTATCCCTATTTTTCTTGATCTTGACGGATTTGGCGTCCTTTCGCCTGGCCATGAGCAAAAAGTCCTTGATTTTCTTGATTTTGCGACGCCCGGCTACGGCGGGCGGGGGGGTGAGGGGGGGCGGTGCAGGGCCGGCACAGCAAGCGGCAAGAGAGGAGAGCCATGATTTATTCTTAACTCAATGTTTTATTTGGTTTCTGTGATCACCTCCATTCCTTTTATATAAATTTTTTTCTACATTGAGTTTTTCTTTATGATACTGAGTGTGGAGCATATTTTAAATTCACAAAACACTTTTGGTCGTAAATCTAGTCCGGTAGAGATCTAGCGCTGAGTGCACATGGAAACTAAACCCAACAAAACACTCTTGCTTTGCTATACATCTGCTTATTTTTAATAGTGTAATTTATTACGACGGCAGATGATAACAGTGATAAGAATATGTAGAAGGCATTGTACTATTCTACTATTATTGACGACAGGAAAAGAAAGGCTAACATTCTTGAATAAAGTTAATTGTACTGGAACTCCTCAATAATGTTTAGGTTTCATATTTATGAATTCTAACGGTTCTAAACTACCTTTATTTGTGAGATTTCTGTGAAAAAATAACTTGCTTCTCAATTTTCTATTCAAAATATTGTTTTTGTAATGTGTTTTTCAATAATCCTAGGTTTCTTATCAACATGGTGATCACCATATATCAATTATACTGTGACGTTTCTGTTTCTGTTCTTGATTTTGGGATGAAAATCCCAGTTCCTGGTCGGCTGGGATGAACAACCAAATAATTTTCTCAGGAAAAGGTCTGTATGTTTAAATGTTTGAATAGGAAAATATCTTTCTATTGTTTTCTCATTAATTATAATTTAATCACAAGAATTGTAAACATTTTTTTTTCGTTCTGGAATCTTGGAAGATATATTTTTCTTTTCCTTTAAATAAAAAAAAAAATTCTAAAATTTAACTACGGAACCCATCTCTTTCTCCCCTATCTGCAATACTGCCCATTATTTCACATGAAACTCAGGAATCCTTTTAATCTATACACTCAAATATTTGCTTAACCAAGGGCATTTTCCTTAATTGTTATATTTTACCATTTTTTTCTTTCTATTGTTCTGCTCCTGCCTCTTCTGGAATGCCTATAATTCTCAAATGATCTCTTGCTTTTCTGTCTTTCACATAAAACATCTCCTTATCATTTTTATCTGAGAACTAAAATATCCCCTATAAATTCAACATTTTTTCTGAATGTTTTCACCTCTTTGTTGACTTGACTAAGCCAGGTTGTCCCCTGAGGTAAAGTTCCCCCGTGTGTCCTCTGCATCCTGCCTACATCAATGCCAGAAGGTGACGGGTCTCCCTGCCTGCCATTACTTCTGAACAATCCATCGCCTTTCCATGGAAGCAAAGACTAAAAAAAAACCAGGCTAAACAAAAATCTCTTCCTTGAAACTAAGATTGTCCACCTACACTATTTTCTGCCCCTGCTTGTTGTGTAATCTTTTGACTATCATTCCCCTTTATTGAGTGAAGAGATTGATTCTAGATCTAGATTTTCCAGTCACATTAATGAGATTGGTCTTTTTGTTTTTGTTTTTGTTTTTTTGTCTTTTGTTTTTTTGCCTTGCTTCTTTCATGATTTCCTCTTAGTCTTTGGCTTTTAACAGTTGGACTCTGATGTATCTAGGAGTGGATCCCTTTGCATTTCTCCTACTTTGAGTTCGTGCCTTTTAATGCTTAGATTAGTATTTGGCATTGCATTGAGGTGTTTTCAGTCATTATTTCCTCAAATAACTTTTCTGCCCCTTTCTCTCTCATATCTCTTTCTGGGACTTCTATTGTATGTATATTGGCATGTTTCCAGTCCTTCAAAAACTCCCTGCTGCACTTACGATAATGACCTTTATATTTTATGATGCCCGTTGAAGGGTCCATAGGATTTGACACCTACATGCATTTTCAACTTTATTTTATGTCAATGTCTTTCTTTCTCTCACATCATGCTCTGCTTACATGGCTTCACAATTACTCCTAGATCAAAATTTATGAAGGAGGGGGATGTGTGCCTGCAGTTGCTATTATCTGTGCCTTACATGATCTTTTCTTATTCTTTATGTGGATCTTTTGTCTTATTCCCATCCTAGAGGCTATTCTCAGAGAGGTCTTCCCTGACTGTCCTATCTGTCTTAGCTTCTCCCCTGCCCAAATATTCTCTACTACAACATCCAATTCATTTTCCCCATGGCACTTTTAAAAACCAGCAAATTTTTTTGACATTTTTTTTATTATGTTATGTTAATCACCATACATTACATCATTAGCTTTTTTTTTTTTAGTTTGTCAAAAGTTTAATTCAAAACCATAGACATTTCACTTCCGTTGTGTATGAGACACTCTGTGAGGGGCTGGTGATAGATTCAACAATTAATGAAATGTGTTCAAGGAATTTGGGGGATAACAGTTAATGTATACATGTATATACATAAATAATCCTTGATGGGAACAAACAATTAGCATATTCACCTATGTATATGCCCAAATAGAGCTACAGTTCTGTAAAAATTAAGTAGCTACAAACTTACAAAACCCATAATTTATACATGTATTAAGTTTTGCTGTGCTTTTTGCCCCAAAACACACAGAATTTCAAAGACTTTTTTCTTATCTAAAAATATGTCTTAGATTAGCTTTGAAATAAAATTGAAACACATTCTAATTGTCATGATTGCCCATTTCTTTAATTATGTTATGTTAATCACCATACATTACATCATTAGTTTTTGATGTAGTGTTCCATAATTCATTGTTTGCGGATAACACCCAGCAATTTTTTGTCTATTATTTGTTTTCTTATCATTGTCTACTCTCTCATTAGAATGTAAGCACCATGAGGTTGGAACCAAATCTGTCTTGTATCTCCAGTGTCTATTACAGTGACTAGCATATAGTCAAAACTCATGAAATAAACGTTTGTTGTACAAAAGTTAATCTTTTGCGTTGTTAACTCTGAATTCTGGAAGGTTCTCAAATGTATATTCTAGCTTGCTGATCCAAGGCAGATTTTAATTTTGCTATTGAAATTGGGGTTTCTCTACATTCTGGTTTTTTTTTTAAGTTAAAAAGTTAAAATGCTTCTGTATGTGCTATTATTTCAATATATTTGCTCCTTATGGATTCTGACCCAGTTTCTTAATGTGTATTTTTAGGTCACAAAGAAAATGCCTTGTCATTTTTTAAAAATTCGTCTTACCAACTGAGTGCCAGAAGTGTGCTTTTCTAGGTCATTGTTCTCCCCCAGTGGTGAGCTCTCCTTTCCTCCCTGGGGCATTTGGCATTATCTGAAGGCATTTTTGGTTGTCACACCTGGGGTGGGGTGCTGCTGGCACCTGGCGGATAGGGACCAGGGATCCTGCTCAACATCTTATAATGCACAGGACAGTTCCTCAACAAAGAATTATCTGATCTAAAATGTCAATAGTGCCCAGGTTGAGAAATTCTGTTCTAGGTAATATAGGGGAGAAAGGAATGTGTTAAATGATGCTACAGAAATGCAGTCAGCAAAATCTACAAAACAGGAAATTCAACGTAGGACATGAGGAGATTGCAAAGGAAAAAGAAAAATAAGGGAAGAAGGGAGAGAGGGAAGGAAAGAGAGAGAGATTATACTTACAGATTGAAAGAAATAAGAGACATGTCAAACAGTTTCAATGAACAGACTTTATTTTGAACTTGATTTGAAAAAAAAAATTGTAAAAAATAAAATACTTGAGACAGTTAGGGAAACTGGAACATTGGGTATTTGGTGATAATAAAAAATTTAGGTGTAATAATTTAGCTGTAATGATATGTAATTATACTTTACAAAAGAGCTCATATTTTAGAGATATGAACTGAACCATTTATGGATGAAATGATATGATATCTAAGATTTGCTTCAAAATAGTCCAGTGGGGTTGAGGAAAATGGGTAGAAGGCATAGATAAAAAGAAAAGAATTAGTCATGTGTTAATAATTGTTAAATCTGATTTGTTAATTCTGTCTGTATTGGTGTTCTATTGTTATATAACAGTATCACTACAAACTTAGTGGATTAAAAGCACACACAACTATTATCTCACATTTTCTGTGTTCCAGGAGTCTAGGTTAGATAGGTCCCCTGCTTTGTGTCTCACGGGCTGCAATCAAAATGTCAATCAAGGTTGTGCTCTCATTTGAGATTCAGGGAAGGAAGAGTCTGCTTCTAAGCTTACTCAGATTGTTGACAGAATTCCGTTCCTTGTGGCTGTAGGATTGAGGGCTTCAATTTCTTGTTGGCTGTTGGCCAGAAGCCATGCTCAACTCCTAATTACCACTCACAATTCTGATCATGTCATGTTCCCCAGGATGTCCTCTTGCTTCTGCAAAGCCCACAAAGGAGAGAGAGTGCAAAATGAAAGGAGGCTACCCGACACACAAAATTCTACTGGCAGGAAGTAGGCTAACAAATTACTCAGCTGTAAACCCATGATAGCTTTCATGGAAAAGGACAGGTGACTCTGAGAACAGAGCCAAAGGCCCAGAGGAAGTAATCAAGAGCTGCAACGGAATTATTCCCAGGCACTGAAATTTAATTAAGAAACTCAGTATTTGCTTGGCTAGATTTCAGAATTGCTATGGAGCAGTGACTTCTTTGTATCTTCTATTTCACCTTATGAAATGGGAATTTCTATAGCCACTATCCTATTCCTGTCTAACCATTAAATATTGTAGGGGATGGATAATTTATCTGTTTAGTTTTACAGATCCACAGATCAAAAGGCTTTATAGAATCTCGTGGAGTCTCAAGGAGTCTCATCCATTCCTTGACCTAGAGATTATGGCTTCTGAATAGATATAGTAATGAGACAATATCTGGGGGAGAGGGGGTCCTTGGAAAAGAGTGAAACTATTTTACCGGTGGCAGGAAAAAGAATCTCTAGGGACCAGAGGGCAGACTGTAGCAGACTGCCTTGTAAGATGGCTCTCCATATCCCCACTTCCTTATGTTCATGCCTTTGTGTGATCCCCCTTTGAATGTAGAACTGTACAGGAACTGTAACTTGCTTCTAACCTATAGAATATGGCAAAGGTGAAGGATGCATGTGACTGCATGTACATGATTATGTGATTACATTATACAAGATAATA